TGAAATGTGACAATACGTAATTCCCTTGTGGAGGAAGAGAGATGCAGGATATTTCAAAAAAAGATGCTGTTTTTACTGGTATGAGGATCCAATGCAGAAGCTATCAAAACACAACAAGCTTTTCTTCTGATTTGAATAAACTGAAATGATTCTGCCACATACAGTCTTCAGTGTATTTCAAGTGATTATGAGACTCTAGGTATGGAATCAAAAGGACTGGCACATAGGCAGCTGTCCCATCACTCCTTCCTGTTGTAAGTCATACCCAAGGAAACAGAGAATAATATTGCTAGTAAACAACTGGTTGCACAGATGGTATTGTTGGTAAAGAGTTGGTTTCTTGGACCATGATCTGTGTTTCCATGAAGAAGGACATCTGGCAAAAGATGGGTTGAATCTTGTGACAGTGGTAAGAATGTGTCTTCTAGGAGTTTTTCAAAGCTGAGCAAAAAGACCTAAACTGAATTCTGCATGAAAGGGTGAACTGTCGAAAATAGCTATTGGAGACAATTGTAAAAATAATGCTGTGGAAACTGGAGTGCTGGTAAGACTGGAGAGGGGGAAAAACACAACAAAATAGCTGGAGGAATTACCTATAAAACAAATGTTTTTGTATTAATGAACAAAGTATAGGAAATAAACAAGGTGAAATTGAACTGTTAAAATAGGAAGGCAAATATGATTTCATTAGTGAGATGAGACTCATGTGGCAATGTGGGAAAAATGGATTTAACCTATTCATGACAGTAAGTAGGAGAGTTACATTTGGCCCGGCCATAGGTTTTTAAATGCTGTATGTTTTGATATTGTTATTGTCTATTGCTTATTGTGTATTTTCTGTTTTTGAGTTTATTTTAACTGTTTTGTATTGATTATTGTTATTGCTTTTGTTTATTGATGTATTGTGGGCTTGGCCTCATGTAAGCCACACCGAGTCCCTTGTGGAGATGGTAGCTAATAATAAAGTTTTATTATTATTATTATTATTATTATTATTATTATTATTAGTTGTATTGTAAGTAAAGGATGTTTGCACATGTACTTTAATTCAGATCTCCTGGGCGAGATTAATTGCATCCTAAAATATTAAAGGAACTTGAAGATTTAATATCAAAATTCCTGTATATAATGTTTGAAATATAAAAATTATTCAAAACAGCAAGGGGCAATAACAGTATATGTAATAATTATGTACACATTCTCTGCATAGTAAATGATGAAAGTGTTTCAGTAAACAGTACAGAAGAAGGAAACAGCAGTGACATCATTTTGGGGTCTGTTACAGACTTCCAAGTGATATTGAAGATCCTAGAATAGAATTGCTAAACATTTTAAAAGGAACAATAATGTGGTATTTTAACTACAAAGACACCTGTTTAAACTCAAATTCTACCAAGAATTGGCTTTAAACAGACAGTTGACAGCTTCATTTTTCTGAGGGTGGAAAAAGAGACAAGGGTCTTCACTCTTTTGAATCTGATCCTCATCAACAGGGAAGAACTAGTTAAAGCAATAAATAGAGGGAAAGGGAAGAGGAAATGGCCATATGCCCCTGAGATTTGTTCAACAGGGCAAAGGGAAAGCTTAGTGCAGTTGTACATGTGCTCCAAACTTTATAAGGTGACACTCGACCTCATCACATTGAGAGGGGAAAGCATGGGTGACTTGGGGAAAGCTTGGATTTCTTTAAGAGTAGAGAATCGTCCCTCTTATATCATCAGCAGTTCTGTTAGGAGTTCTTCCTTCCCATCACACTCACATGTGGAAACTTAAGAGCTGGCAATACATTAATCTTACATTCATTACAAGGTCAGTATTACTTTTTTGTTTTAAATCAGGAGTAACAACAATATCAAAAACCAAGAGATTCCTTGCCCTGCCCAAAGCCCCCTACATTAAAAGAGACTGACACCAGTTGAAAAGCAATTCTTTCCATGGGACAAAATTGTTCTGCCCCAAATCCCATAGGATACAAGAGACAGTGATCCACATTAAATAATTGCTTTCCATGGGATCTTATTGTTCTGCATCAAACCCCATACAATAAGGTACAATAGATTGCTGACAGTTGGGAAATGAAACAGCACGGGAAACTTTGATGGTCCCCATCCCACCTGTTTTTCAGTTGGAACCATTGGAGTAAAGTGTGATAAGAGGTAGGAGCTCTGAACACAATTGCTGGCCCGTGTTCAGAGTTCCCTCCTTTCTGGACATTTCAGTGTCTTTTAAACCCTGGATCATGTAATAAGCTTTGTGCCTCTCCATGCTAGAAAAGAAGCTGAAGTGTCCTACCAGGGGGGAAATTGTCAATTTGATGAGGTCAGATTGCCAGAGTTCCTTCTTTTCAGGACACTTATGCTTTTTTTCAACTACGGAGGGCTATGCATGATGGCTGGAAGTAGTTCAACTCATATGATGAACTCAGTGCCTCTCCATGTTTGAAAAGAGGCTAAAGACTCCCACGACTGGGAAATTTCTCAATGTGATAAGGTAGAAAGTGACTATATGCCAGGACAATATGCCAGAAAAAACTTTCCACAGTTCTAACATTTAGAGGGAATTGCTTTCTCTCAGTTCTGCAACCAGCACATGCTTGTTTGGTAAAGAGAATAAGAGGGAGCCTTCTTACAACCTCATCATACAGAGGTAGAATTGGTGGCAGAAAAAACACAGCAGAAAAAACATTGCTTGGAAGTGGAGGAGAAATAATGTATAATTTATTTTAGTATAATCTCTAGTTGGTCTAGGCTTCTTATAGATGAAGAAATCATTCAGTTCTGTCTATTCATTAGTCCTGGTCACCCGTGTAGTCAGTCAGCTCTCATCATATGATGTCATGATGGCTCCATGGGTGAAAGAAGTTCTGCCCTCTTTCACTCATGGACCTGCTGCAACGTTGTATGATGAAAGCCAGCTGGCTCCATGGGTGACTGGGGCTAGATTACCATATTCCACTATCGGGGAAGCTGTGCACCCATGCTTCCCCTTATGTAATTGTCCACCCGGCGGGTGATGCGGGTGATTCAGGCAATGCGGGTGATGTGAGGCAAGGCATGGGGCGCTATTTTCTCCACTCCTCACAGAGAAGTGGAGTGCCTCTGCCTTCTGCGTCTGGCCATCTGATGAGGTCGACAGTGACTGTTCTCAGGCACTGGACTAAAACTATAGGTCAGTGACCAATCTCAGGCATCTGTAACTCCTTTGTTGGGACCACAGGCACACACAGCACACACAGCATTTTTTCATCACCCCAGCTAAACCCTCTTACTATTTAGCTTCCACCAATACGCATACTATCCTTGAGGCCTCCTAAGTTCAGAGCTAGCAAGAGCACGCTACACTAGATAGTCTAAAGAAAAGTGTGTTTTTCTCATATCTAAATCAAGTTTGCATTATGGAAAATTAGATGAGGGGGTGGTTGGGACATGTCTGGCTTGGGAGCATAGTCTCTAATCATTTATTTTCTATTTGGATTCAGGGAGGTGTTCAGACTCCTATACTCTAGGTGAGCAAAGAAGGGAGAGTTCTTCTCAAAAGATTCCTTATTTCAGCGTGGGTGCTGTTGCTGCACAATATAAAAACTCAGAACTATTTTCATCCTTCCTATTTTTGGCTGTGATTCATTCTTTTGTTTCTCATTTAAACATTTAGCCATTTACCAAAGAAAGTATGGCAAGAGAGCACTCCTGAAAGGAGTTGGGGGGGGGGGGCGGCAAACTTGAACCTACATGTGTATGATTTGTATTACCCGATATACTGTAGGTATTTCTTGTTCAAGGATAGCCTATTAACATCCTGCTTCAGGACATCAGAATGTTTCAGGACAGCAGATGCAATAGTGTTTTTTTCATCTTCGTCCTCAAGTTTATTCTGCTAGTTAAAGGCCATGACAAACACAACATTTTTTTTACTGAAGTTCATGGAAGAAAAAACACAGCAGAAAAAACATTGTTTGGAAGTGGAGGAGAAATAAAGTATAATTTATTTTAGCATAATCTCTATTCAGTCTAGGCTTCTTATAGATGAAGAAATCATTCAGATTTGTCAATTCATTAGGATTCCTCTACAAAAATGAATAAGCTTCTTTCTGTTAACATTGCTGAATCACAGCAGGTCTTCTAACTTATATTTATATAGTCCACCATTGCAATCTCCAGAAATGTTATTCTATCCGTCCCTTTTTACTCTTTTATATATCTCTGCTCACACTCAGGTTTTTCATCTTGCTTCTAGACACTAAACAATAATCAGCCAACCTTCCTATGAGCCACAAATCAATACCTGAGTGTAAGATAGTGCTGTTCCGCTGCATGTTATAGTGCATGTACTGTTATTCCATGTGCATGCTTTGCTTCTAGTCTACTGAATGTAATGGGATGCTTACAGAGTGCAAGATCTGGCTGCACACCACAACTAGGCTGTTGTTTACCCCGCTTATCTCTGGTGAGGAATGCCAAAGGACACACACAAACTGCTGGTGCCATTGGCAGTATGAACACCACCTAGAACAGTGGTTCTCAACCTGGGGTCCCCAGATGTTTTTGGCCTCCAACTCCCAGAAATCCTAACAGCTGGTGAAGTGGTTGGGATTTCTGGGAGTTGTAGGCCAAAAACATCTGGGGACCCCAGGCTGAGAACCACTGACCTAGAAGAATAAGGCCCAGTAGCAGACAGTAGACTGCTATTGAGATTGCCATGCATTCAGTATGATTATTTGTAAAGGACTCAGTAATTTCATTCATGCATATGGAACATGACTTTTGAACAGAAATGTGCCTTATCAAGATTTCTAATCACAGAAGCCCTTTAAATTGTATTTGGACAAAATTAGATTACAGAATATCCAAATCTCAACAACCACTGTGGATATTGGGGCTGGGCTTTAAATGGTATGCCTGAATTCCCATTAGCACTATGTATTGCAAGTAAATGCATCCCATATATCTCCTTCTATATTCCATTTCAAAACTGCCAGCTGCCATCTTGGGCCATGTGACATACAGATGGAGAGGGCTTACCAGAAGCAGCCCACCATCTTCCAGAACAAAAAGCGGGTGCTTCTGAGGGACACTGGCAAAGAGAAGCTCCCTCGCTATTACAAGAACATTGGCCTGGGCTTCAAGATCCCCAAGGACGCCATCGAAGGCACCTACATTGACAAAAAATGCCCTTTCACAGGCAACATCTCGATCCGAGGCCGCATCCTGTCAGGAGTGGTCACCAAGATGAAGATGCAGCACACCATCATCATCCACAGGAACTATTTGCACTATATCCGCAAGTACAACCACTTTGAGAAGCGCCACAAGAATATGTTGGTGCACCTGTCCCCTTGTTTCAGGGATGTCCAGATCAGGGACATTGTGAAGGTGGGTGAGTGCCGCCCGCTCAGCAATACGGTCCACTTCAATGTTCTGAAGGTGACCAAAGCTGCCAGCACCAAGAAGCAGTTCCAGAAGTTCTGAAGAAGGAAGGCAGCAGCTTCCCTCCAGACTCCTGAATAAAGCTTTTATAAAGACAATAAACAAAAAAACAAACAAAAACTGCCAGCTGCCCTTTGCTCCCTTTCATAGACATATAGATAATTTCATCCTTGTTTAGTGGGAAGAAGGAATGGATTCTCCCCATTCCAAAGACACAAGAGAGATCTAGCAATCAAGAACAACCTTCCAAAAGATGCACTTGTCAACTTTGCCATCTGTAATTGTGATTTTTCAGCAAGTGATGGGTAAAGTCCAAAACATATATGTGTTTGAAGAACACATAGAAAATTATTTGAAAAAGTAGTAATACTATAGTTCCAAACCTTCTAAAATAGTTGATGTGACAGTTGTAGGTTATCAAAGTAAATTAGAAAATTAGAATAAGAAGAGGCTGCATACAACATCACATCCAACCACCTATTCAATGCAGAAACTTCAGCAAAAGTATCACCAGCAAGTAGGTGCCCAACTTCATCATCAGGATTTTATAGGCACTGTGGCTGTGTGGCTGTGTTTCACCACATCCATTTTAGGCAAGTGTTGGCTTGTGCTGTTCTGAAAGTGCATTTCCAAAAATCAGCAATGGATTTATTTAATGAATAGCCTACAAGTTTTTGTTGGAGGTGGACATCCCCATCAGCATAGGAAGGTGAGAGAAATTGTCGTACTGTGATCAACTATTCAGAAGTAGTGCACTGTGATAAGGAAGAAATGAATGAAGATAGAACTTGTCCCACTGTGTCTTATGGTATTCCTGAGCTACATACAACAGGTAAGTTTAAAAGTATCTCTTTTTTGACATTACATGTGCACATTTGCACCAAAGCTGTCATTTACACACACATATATATGCACATACTGTCTCCTCCCAGAAATAATAAACTGCTTCAATAGCCTTCTGTTCCTACATTGTATAAGCACTTGTTATGGGTACCATGTTGAAAGCGAGGGGAGGGGGAGTTATTATATAATAAGAAGTACACCTACTCTATTTTACTATAGGGCACAATGAATCACACAGAGAGATTTAATGATGTGGAGATAAGTTCAAGAAAAAAAACATGATTCCTATGTGTTCTGCAACTTTGTACTAATTTGAGAACATGGATATTGAGATTAGTGGAGTGTGTAAATTATTTCTTGAAAATATGGATGCTATAAAACTTAGCAGGGTGTAAATGATTTTTGCTGTCATGTACTTTGGAATCAGTGGGGATCCAGTTCTATGACTTTCTCGGCAAGATTTATTTAGAGGAGGTAGCCATAGCTTTCATCTAAGGTCAAGATAAGGGCTTTCCTAAGATCACCTACTGGATTTCCATGGCCAAGTGGAAATTCAAGTCCTGGTTTCCTGGAGTCCAAGAGTGGTTCTACACAGGCACATTTTATTCCAGTTGGTGCTGCGTTATGATCACACAGAGGTGCTATCAATTGCCTCCAAAGCAGGACAACAGCCCTACAGTCCAGCTCTCTGGTTGGCGAGACTGGGTGGACAACAACGTGACACTGCACTGGGTTTGGACTAGTGCATCATGGTCATGTAGGGACAGTCCAGAGCATACAACTCTGAAACTGGTTCAGCAATCTAGGGATGGGACAGGATACTATCCCAGGACCATAATTTAACCTTCAAAAGAAAGAAAATCTTATTTTGAGTGCCATACTTTTTACTTCCTGATTTGTCCCATGTGACTGAGCAAAGCAGCTTGGAAAGAGTGAGCACCTGTTTGCTCCCCTCAATCTGGCCCGATTAGTTGCATGGGACAAACCAGGACAGAATTCAAGGTAAGTGCAGTTCTCCTAAGTCCCAAGGGATGCCTGGCGAGCTAGCTAACATGGATAACAAATCAGGAATCAGCAATCGAAGACTTCACCAGGATGAAGGCAAAGGACAAAGACTTTATTCGATTTGTGCAAAAGAGACACTTGTACAGCAAGGGTGCTTGAATGGTTTGTTGTTGTTTATTCGTTCAGTTGCTTCCGACTCTTCGTGACCTCATGGACCAGCCTACGCCAGAGCTCCCTGTTGGCCCTCACCACCCCCAGCTCCTTCAAGGTCAAGCCAGTGACTTCAAGGATACCATCCATCCATCTTACCCTTGGTCAGCCCCTCTTCCTTTTTTCTTCCATGTTCCCCAGCATCATTGTCTTCTCTAAACTTTCTTGTCTTCTCATTATGTGGCCAAAGTACTTCAACTTTGTCTCTAATATCCTTCCCTCCAATGAGCAATCGGGCTTTATTTCCTGAAGTATGGACTGGTTGGATCTTTTCGTGGTCCAAGGCACTCTCAGAAATGTCCTCCAACACCACAGTTCAAAGGCATCTATCTTCCTTCGCTCAGCCTTCCCTATGGTCCAGCTCTCACATCCATAGGTGACTACGGGGAATACCATTGCTTTAACTATGCGGATCTTGGTTGTATAAAGATGTCTGCTTGTGAATACATTTTACACTTGTACCATTCAACCAAAATCCAATGCTTGAATGGTAGAAGTGTAAAATGTATTTACAAGCAGGCATCTTTATACACATAAGTTTCCATTCACTGACAGTTTGAAAGCTCCCTCCCTCCTCCATGATTGGCCAGCTCAGTGAAGCTGGCCCGTGCTTTCCTTGGCTCTGATTGGTTGGGAGGTGGGTCTATGCCGGTGCTTGCCCTGATTAGCAGAAGTGCTAGTGACTTAGCTGGAGATCTTTTCCCAGCTGGGCCAGTGAGAACCGAACCGAGCCAAATGGTTGGGCTGGGTATGTGTGTGTGTGTGTGTTTGTATATTGGGGGGTGGGGAGCTTGATGGTTGGGTTGGTAGGGTGCTACTAATCCTTGGGAGGGGATTGAGGGGATGGAGGCCATTTCTAATTCATTGAATCCTCCATATTTTGTAAAATAATAAATCATTAACTCCTATTTCTGTATACTTTTGATTAGTGGTGGGATTGGGGGTCTTCGATAACACCAGCTTTCTGAATTGGTTTCAGAGCTTTATGCCCTTGACTGGTTCTAGCATAACCATGATGCACTGGACCAAACCCACTGCAATGCCACATTGTTGTGCAGTCAATCTTGTCAGCTAGAGAGCTCTGTGAGAGCACCCGGCCATCATCGCCTTTCATGTCCATGATGTTGTAATGGGGACATACAAATAACAGCAAGAAGGCTGTTGATCAATCCTGCTCCTTCTCCCTGCTTGTGCAGATGCCCCATCAGATGTGACCCGTATGAGTGGCAGTAGTGACATGTAAAGAAGCAATGTCGGTGTATGGAAAGGTTGATGGCACAGTGTCAATCCGAAGAGAGGTTTGGACCAAATCAGATATGATCCAGCTACCCAGACTACTATAAAACCCTTGGATACTTTGGAATTTCCAGCATTCTCTGGAGTATCCCCACACTTCGCCTAAAGCAGAGCAAAGTCAGATTAAGGCAAGCATACCAGGGATATGCACCAGAAGCCAGCCTATGTCATGGGGATAACCAGTGCTGGATTTTAGATGAATCCACTTTTTCTTGTTCATGTAGAGACACCTGAGATTCCTACAAGGGCTAATTAAATCCCCTGAAACCACTTGCACAGCCTTGGCCTGAGCAAAGCAGAGACCATGATGGAATGAGCATTTAGACACTTCAAAAAGTAGATGGATGTGACTGAATAATGCAGAGAAAAGTAGGAGCCCAATACCGATACCTGTCTCCTGTGGAATGTTTTGTTCTACTGCTTCCACCCACTTTTTGTTGTGAGCAGACATGAAGCAGCCAGGGAGGTTCATCACTCATTCAAGGAGGGCAGGAGCCACAATTTGGAAGCTAACCCTTGTGGAAATGCAGAAAACATCGAAATGAAGAGGGACCAATTTGTTCTACTGTAAATGCTGAGGGATAACATGGGAAACAATTTATCTCAAATTCTTAGCTTCAGGCAACAGAAAGCCCTGGGAGTATTTGGGGAAGAAGTAAAGAAAATGTGATGTGCAAGGGGTAAGGACAGAATTACAGCAGTGTAAACGACTGGTGCACATTAGCCCTGAAAACCTGCAAGGGTAAATAGCAGAGATATACTTTCAAAAACAGTTTCAAAGACACGCTTTCTTCTTGAGTCAAATAAGGCAAAATGTTGACCTCTTCTTTTTCAAATAGTTAAGATTTATGCAAACCCAAGAAGCTAGTTTTGGCACAAGCTAGTTCATTTATTCTCTTACAGAAGGACTTACATCAAAATGAAGCTATTTATCTTATGGGGGGGGGGGCACAAAATAACATTTTGGGCAGGTGAAAAGCTATCTGACATTAAGGGATAAAAACTTTACGAACTTCTGTTTGCATAGCTGCTATCTGAGTTTCTGAAGTTACTTTAAAAAATCACATAAGTATATATGTGTGTGTGTATATATATATAAAACCATTCAGGTGTTCCAACGCACTGATCTACTTATAATCTCAAAAATGACTAAAATAAACATTTTAAGTTACTTTAAATCAGTGGTTAACCTTTTTTGACCAGGGATCACTTTGGCCAGGGACCTCTTTGATCTGGGACCACTTGACCAGGGACCACTTGATCAGGGACCACTTTGACCAGGATCCACTTTCCAACATTAGTACCAAAAGGGTTACGAATCAGTTTTTGGTCAACTTTAGATTCAGTTTGGTTGTTTGGGGAGCTGATTCAGAAAATTGCATTGGATAGACCACATCAGCTCTAGGTTCTGATACAGAACATATGTCAACCAGTAGTCACCATCTGCTCACCTACAGAAAACCATATTTAATAATCGAAAGCTGATGTGGTAGTAGTAATCTTTCATGGGTAGTCAGCCTCTCCCCTCCTGACATCCCTGTTGCCTCAGCATTATAAGAGGGTTTTGCGAGAGCAGTCGCTATTGTTGCCATGTGTTTTTGAGGCAATGGCGTAGTAATGGTGAAGCCATGGACCATATTTTCATTCTTGCAGACCACTGGTGGTCCACGGAGCACAGGCTGCGAACCACTGCTTTAAATGAATGAAGAAGCAC